GTACATTTACACAATGGAGTACTATTCAACAGAAAAAAACAATGGAATCATGAGATTCGCAGGCAAATGGATGACACTAGAAGAAACCATCCTGAGTGAGGTAACACAGTCACAAAAAGAGAAACATGGCATGTACTCTCTCATATATGGAATTTAGACATAGATCTGGGGAGTGCCAGCCTACAATCCTATGGCCAGAGAGTCTGGGAAACAGAAACTTCATTTAGTGGCTGATCGAAGAAGAGGCAGACTCCCTCGGTTAAGTACTGAGCTGAACTCAAGAAAGCCAGTAACAGAGAGGGAGGACTGATGATCAAAGGGATTAAGACTGGGCTGGTTTAACCCCCAGAAACAGCTGACCAGACAAAGGTTAATTCTTGAATCCCAGGCATCAGCCTGGGAATCCAGCATGGGACTGATCAAGACCCCCTGAATCTGGGTGTCAGTGAGGAGGCCTAGGTAATCTATTGAGCCTTGGGCAGCAGATCAGTACCCATCCCAAGTATACACACGGACTTTGGACTCCCATAGAACAATGTGAGGTGCACTCTCACCCTGAACTCTTGGGGAAGGGTCTAGGCCCTGCCCTATATGAAATGACAGACTATGGACCCCCCATGGAGGGCCTCACCCTCCCTGGGGGAATGAGGGGATAACGGAGGGGGGGAAGTTGGGGGGAGGGCACGGGAGGAGGGGAGGGAAAGGGAGAGGGACCTGGAACTGACTTGTGAAGCAACCTTGTTTCTTATCTAAATTTAAACTGGAAAATAAAATAATAAAAAAATTAAAAAAACAAAGAATATGATACCACTTAGTACAATTATGCATAATATTAAATGTATTGCATGCATGCTAATCATATTATATATTCAATTATATACCTGTTTATAACACAAATATTTATAAATTATATAGCATGAATATTAAATAAAAGAATTTTTGCTAATATTAAAGTTTCTTCCATCCTCCCATATTTTATGAGCATATATTTATGATTAAATGGGACTGTGAACTTGATATATTCTCACTAACTTAGTAAATTAAGCTGTCAGTCATAGGAGGGTAAGGAAGATACCCAGTGTTATTTCTTTGCAGCACTGATGCAGGAAACTGGCTTTAGTGGCTGTGGGAGCTCTGCTTTAAGTGATGGGAATTAGCCCATAAAACAAATAGTGAAGCTGTGAACCACAGATAGCTTTAGAGCTGTCACACAACAATCTACAGAGTGCAGATTTCTATACCAGGCAGCCTTTGCAGGGTGTAGAAGACATATTGACTCTGACCCAAGAAAAGTCAGCTCTGCCTTTACTTAAGAAAGAGAACTGTTGGCCAGGGGTAACAGGATTCTAAGACAACTATTAAAGGAGAGAAAGTGGTTTCCATGCACTTGAGCTATAATTACCAGGTTCACACCTCTTTATCGTTAAGCAACTTATAAACTATAAGCAATGAGAAACTCCTTTGATGTGAATAAATCAGTTTAACACAGGCTATAAGTGGATCTGAGTACATACAGGAGCTTATGGATTATAAATGCTGTTCAATGCCTTCATATCTCCATATCTTCAATGACTCCTGAAGAATTCCAGCTGGGGCTTCCTGGACCACATATTACCTTTTATACTAGGACTCAAGTCAAGTCACCCTGACCAATGTCAGATGAGTTAAAATACCCACAATGTATTGCTGTCTGGGAAGAATTCTTAGCCAGTGACTCTCAGGAATTGATTTGCCAATTCCCCAGCAGCTTCACTCTGTATTGGGAATTTAAGGAAGTTTGTATTTTGTCCTAGTTCTCAGTTTCCTGTGGGTTTAAGCACTGTGCTTACTATGATACCTTAATGTCTTCCTGAATAGTTGTTTCACCTAATATGTCCTCCTGTGTTTTCTAGCTAAATTTTGCCTGAGCATATATACATGGCATCAAGACATTTGGAAATAGAGGGATCAAGGAAAGTGAACTATCAAATTACATACCAAGATTGTACAAAGAATAGCAGCTGAAATTTATCTGAAACTGAGAAGTTTTTTTTTCTTTCATTTGGTTTGATTTTAGTCTTGTTTTTGTTTGGGGATTTAAGGCTTACTGTGCTTACTTGTGTGAGGAAGTCTTTGGAAAGTAAAAATGAACTAAACACTTCAGTTGTAAACCAAAGTGGTCTTAGAAAAGGTTATTTTAAAAAAAACATTAAAATTACACTCACTTTCATGTGTGTATGAGCACAGTATGCATGTGTGGATATGTGGCAGCCAAAAGACAACTCAGGAGCATCTCTCTTTCCACTATGTGGTATCCCCAGTATTGATGGTATTGAACTCAGGTTCGTCAGGCTAGGCATCAAATACCTTTACCTGCCTCGCCATCTCACCAGCCTCAGGAAAGGCATCTTTAGAATTGACCCTTGAAGGAAGTGAGGAGATGCCTCTGTGTGTAGGACACTCACCTTGCAAGCCTGAGGATTAGAGATCAGATCTCCAGAACTCACTTAAAGCTGGGCAGGCATGGCAGCTGTCTGTAATATCAGCACTGGATAGCAGAAACAGGGGACCCCCCCCCCCAGAGCAAGCTGGCTAGCTAGACTAGTAAAAATAGATCATCTCCAGGAAGTTCAAGGAAAGACTCTGCCTCAGTAAATAACATAGAGAATAAGCCAGGTAGATATAAGATGCCAACTTTTTGGACCTCCACAAACAAGTACTCCCTATCACATGCAAACATGCATATAAACACACCACATACACATGACAAGGTGTTGGGGGTGTAATTAACCTAAGAAGGTTGAAACTAGCCAACTCAAACAAAATTGCCCTTATGGGTTAGACCCTGCGAATGCTATGCTATCAGGATTGCCAGCAGTCTTACCTGAGCTGACCTGGCATGGGGCATAGCTGGAGGATGGTGCAGTGGTGTTTGTGATCTCTCTGCCTCCTGAGAAGTCATTGGAATGATTGCGGAATTCCAGAGGGATTCCAAGTGTAACCATGAGAAGAAAGAAGGAAAGGACAGAATAAAGTCCGATGAATACCAACTCAGGGCAAGAAAGAATGCCAGAAGACTTGAAGGACAACATGAAAGGAGACTCTCAGCTTCTGCAGATAAGAGATCAGACTGGAAACTGGTAGGAGGGAGGAGTAGGGAGAGCTGATCGGATAGAGAAAAACATAGCTACTCTTCCTGCATTAGAATTCAGCAGAACTTTGACTCAAATGAAGGCCTTGAAAGATGACCACACTGCTGTCTTCAAGGTCTACCCCATGGTCTGATAACCAAGGTCATTCCAGCATGGCATCATAAGGACAGTGCCAACTCTGTATCATGAAGTACAAATTACTCAATGGTGGCATTTCACAATCAGGTGAACAGATTTCTGTGGAACTCATATGTGTCTTAAGACATGTACCTTTGGGTGGGGAAGGGAGCCACATATGGTGAGGGAAAATTTATCGCTATGGAGGTTCTAACTACATAGAGAATAATAGAAACTGGGCTTTCCCACCTTCTGCCCTTCAACCCATGAGTAGCTTTCAACTGACATTTTCAAGTTGGGAAACAAATATCCCCACTGGCTCCACTTAGGTGGGGCATCTCTGACAATGAACTTTACACATTTCTGAGACTTTAACTATAGAGGTCTTAACCTTGTCACAAAGGATGACAGGAAGCTTGTCAGTGAGACAGTTGAATTCCCTTCCATCCTTCCCATTCCTGAGATTGTGTTTGATGTTTTGTTTTCCACCCAATGAAAGTTCTTAAACCCAAATCTTTGCCTGATGGTGTGCTTGCAGGAAGGCCCAAACCAAGACATGGAAATGAATATCTCAAAGCTAAGATTTCAGAGCATCCTTGGTTGTCAGCAAAAGTGAAACAGCAAAGGAACACACTAGTATCAAATTAAGGATTTGAGGATCTTATTATTTAAGGTAACTAGCAGTTCACTTGAAGATGTTAGGACATAGTCTAGACTTTAGTAGCCGCATCAGATATTTGCTGAATGAATGAATAAAAAGCAAATAACATTAACTCTAACCTCTACTATAACTCACAGGGTGGCAAGTTCTACCTGTTAAATGATGAATGATAAATAGTTTAGGTTTACAGAGAACTCAATGTCTATTGAAACTATTTATGTCTATTGTTGTGTAAAAACAGCTATGTATAATGAATGTAGATGCATTTCAATAAAACTTTTTTGAAACCACATGCTAGACCACAAGGCATTGTTTCCTAATCTCTGGTATAATCAAGTTGGTTTCACTACCAAATAAGTTAGAGGGAATCCAGAAAAGTTCAGGTGTCTCTGATGACTATTTTGATACTTTTTAAAATATAAACGTATTTCATTATTTAAGATCACCCTGATTTGCTGGAAACTTCACTGAGCATTTGGGAGACGCTACAGCACAGAAATTATGAAGAAATAAAATGTTACACAATATATAGCAAAGGCACATGCCACAGTTGGCTTGAGAGGAGAAAGACTCAGTAGCCTTTTCTAAATTGCAGTTTCACCTTCTATGGTTTCAGTTACAAGAAAGTAAGTGGGCTCTAAAAATATTGAATGTAAAATTCTATAACTAAGCAGCAGATGAGTTTCAAATAACTCTGTAAAGGTACATCATATTTTATTACTGTTGGTGGTATCTTAAACCTAATTCAAAAATATTTCAAATGATATGTGTGTATGTGTGCGTGTGTGTGTGTGTGTGCATGCATAAACACATACATGCATATACAAACTGAGTTCGGTGATATCTACAGTTGCAGGCATTCATTGAGGGTCTGGAACCTATTGCCTTGATAAAAGCAGAAGATCACTACATATATGTCCCTTAAAAATGGACAGCAAAATTGGGGAAGAGAAATACAAGAAGGTGAAGTGGTCTAAAAAGCAAATGTGGTGTTTTCATTCCTATTGGAAAAAGAAATCTTAGATTTTACTGAATACAGGCATACAGACCAAGGTCCTGAATAAAGTCCGTTAAAATTTAAATAGCCCCGAGAGATTCCAGTCTGGAGCGCGCTGTGTGGTCACCGTTCCCCAGGTGGTATCGGGCCCAGGAGGCCCTTCGCTCAGTGAGGGACACAGAGGAGGGCTATGGACATGTTTTCGAGAAGCCAGATTCACTGAAAGCCAAATCTCCCCAGGCTCCTGATAAAGACAGCTCTCAGGACCCACGGAGAGCTGCGAGGACCCCGAGCAGCAGTCAACATTTATGGCAAAAAAAAATGCCAAGAAGGAAGTGACAGGCAGGAACTGGAATCAAGACGCTGAAGAGGAGGGAACATTCTCACTGGCCAGTCAGGATGTCCTGAGGAATAGAACCATAAAGAGAGCCAAGCGGAGACACACCAGATTCCAGTCAGATGGTGGAGGGACTTCCAAAGGGGATAAAGGCTTGGCTGTGACTTCCGGAGGAGGAGAATTTGGCAATGGCCCTGGAGAGAAGCCTCGGGAAGGAATAACAACCAGAAAGAACACAGCCAAGGCAGCCGCGGAGCCCAAGGCAGCCCTGGGTTCTGTCACTGCAAATGGCCCCACCTCTTTGGACCACGAACAGACCTCAGATCCCCAGACTAATGGCCACAGTCAGCATGCTGCCTACTTGGGCCTTTCTTTCAGTCAAGCCTATGCTGCGAGTGTCTACCACAGGCAGTTGACTGGACTGAACTGCTCTGTCCGGGACTGGATAGTGAAGCACGTGAACGCAAACCCGTTCTGCGACCTGACGCCCGTCTTTAAACAGTATGAGAAGTACTTAGTAGCCATCGAAAAGCAGCTCCACAGCAGCTATGGCTGTCTTTCCGAAAGAGAGCTCCACAGGGGTTTGGTTGGGACACAGCCTCCTTCCCTAGGTGTTGCCGCCACCGAACTGCAGCCAGCATCTGTGGCCTCTGAAAAGACAGAGTTAGTAGTGGACAAGACAGCAGACCCCCCGCAGGGAGCGACAATGACTTTGTGTAACTTTGTCAAGAACACTGAAAGCCCATGGTCCTTAAGCTCTGGTCCCATGAATGGAGTGTCATCGCCCACCAGAAGCTCCAGCTTCACGGGTAAAGGCACCACCCCGAGGAAACCAGCATCCGCAAAAGCTCTGGAAAGTCCAGCACATGGCGGCAGTGATGAAAGCAAAGACAAAACGGATGAGCTGCCCAAGGCGGTCCTCATTGAAGGGAAGGAGGAGGACGTTTTCTACTCCAAAAAATGTAGACTATTTTACAAGAAAGACAATGAATTTAAAGAAAAAGGTGGGGGCATACTGCAGTTAAAAGCCACAGCCAATCAGAAGACGCGGCTCTTGGTGCAGGATACGAAGTTAGGCAACATACTCCTAAACGTTCTGGTCCCTCCCAACATGCCCTGCACCCGAAAGGGGAGGAACAATGTCCTCATCATCTGTGTGCCCAACCCACCGCTTGATAAGAAGAGTGCTGCCATCGAGGTCACCATGCTCATTCGGGTGAAGACATGTAAGGACGCAGAGGAACTGCACAAAATTTTACTGCAGAGAAAGGGTGCTTGAGCACAAAATCCACTGGGGAGCTTGCCAACTTCCTGCTTTTTTGTTCTGTCCCCCAAATGTAGTTACTTATCTGTTTTGTTTATGACACCCTAAAAACTTCCATGTGACAAAAATTTTTGTGAGGAAAATTAAGGCCAGCAAAAACTTCAGTGTTCAGTTGAGTGTGGAGAAAGTGTTCTCCCTTTTTCAGAACTGCCTAACATGCAGAATACTTTTAAATAAAAAGATTTTGGAAATTTTTTTGATATTTATTTACTGAGTAAATTAAGTATAGGTGATTTCTTGGCAATAAATAAATAGCCCATCTACAGTGGGAGTGACATTTTAAACAATTTACAGTAAGATCCTCCTTGAAGACTTTGTCCAATTAGGCCCACCTTCTTCCATACCACAGAGTATCTGCCTTCATTGTCATCCTGTCTGCAGTGGCTCTCTCTTCTAGTGCTAACAATGTCAAAGGCTGTGGCCTAGACCTAGACCAGGGTGTTGGGTAACATATAACAGACCCTCCAGAGCAGTAGTTCTCAACCTTTCTAATGCTGCAATCCTTTAATTCAGTTCCTTGTGTTGTGTTAACCCCAACCTTAATTATTTTTGTTACTACTTCATAACTGTAATTCTGCTACTGTTATGAATCATAATGTAAACATCTGTGTTTTCTGATGGCCTTAGATAACACCTGTGAAAGGGCCATTCAGCCTCATAGGGGCCATGACCCACAGGTTGAAAACTACTGCTCTGATTCTAATTCCATTCCATTGGTATACACGTACTCTGGCTTTCTTTCACCATTCTGTATCTCCAAGGAGAAAAAAAATCGTGGATAATGCTGGCGACATAAATGTCTCCTGTCCAAATCAAGCCAAATGGTTTCTGCCCATGAAGCAAAAGTGAGTATCCCTGATGGAGAGTGGCATTCTTTGTAAGTCCAATTCTCATTGAAACCAGTTATAAAATATTATTATACCACTAGATGTGGAATCAAATCTTTGAGGGTCATTCATTATGTCTGTATGAGTCATGACTCATCTTTTCAAAATTAGCCATCAACAGTAGACCAAGATGCAAAAGCAAACTGGATAGGAAAAACTATATGATTCAATATTGTGACAGACACACTGTTGCAATGATAGATGAATAGCGGATCAGATTGACAGGTAAGATGAATGGAGTTGACCAAACAAGATGTCGAACCAGAGTGGGGCGTTGGTGGCGCACGCCTTTAATCCCAGCACTTGGGAGGCAGAGGCAGGCAGATCACTATGAGTTTGAGGACAGCGTGTTCTACAGAGGGAGTTCCAGCACAGGCTCCAAAGCTACACAGAGAAACCCTGTCTCAAAAAAAACCAAAACGACATGGAACCAGGAGATAAAACTGGGTAGAGTGCAAATTTGAAATATGCTTTGTAAGTGGGAACTGTGCTCGAACTCCCATTCAAAACCCTATGTCTTGGTTGTAGTGTGCATCTTCTCAGGAGATGCCCTTCTTTAATCATCACAGAGCTTCCATGTGGGATGCAGGAGGGTTGGAAAGCTTATAAGAACACTAGATTCCTCACAGTAGCTATGGAAACCTGTTGATGGCCAGGTGAAAGCTGGCTGCCAACAGCGAGACCATTAAGACTCCAATAACTTTTTGAAAATTCCATAAATATATATGGATTTTTGTCACTTTTGTACCCCATTACCCTCTTATCCCACTCCTGGTGAAACCGTTCTTCATCCGTCTTGTGCCCTGATGTCCTGTGTTGGTGGTGGGTGGATAGTGAGTGTATGTCCCTGAGTATAATTATAGGTGCTTGGATGAACATGAGCTGGGAGCTAATTTGCTAGACTGTGAGCAGCTTACAAATGGCTATACATACCACTGACGAAAATTACAACCCTTCCCCAGAATTCATTAAGAGCCTATAGTCCCTAAATGAGGGTTAGGCCTCAGAAGTCCCTACCATTGCATGATGAAATGGTAAGGACCCAATCTGGTATAGGTATGGCACGGGTGAAGACAGTTACAGTGAGAACATCATGAGCACATTGACTGCTTCATCTAGAAGACAGTGTCCACAGCACTTATCCCCACCTTCTGGCTTTCATCTTCTTCCTGCCCCCTCTTTTATGATGTTTCATAGCCTCAGAACAGGCAACAAGGATGTCCTGTTTAAGGTTAATCACCCCATAGTCACCCAAAGTTCACAGTCTGACCATTTGTGAGTCTGCCCTCTGCAAAACGAATCTTTTCTGGGAGCAGTGCTAGAGGGGGCAGGAAACATGAAGAGGCTGGAGAAGAACCGGGCACTGCAATCCTCTAAGCATGGCACATCCATTGCAAGCATGAACTCACAGGACCTGAAGCTGTCAGCACTGAGACTGTTAAAGAAAATTAGCCATGGGTGAGAGAGGAACTCATAGGGTCCTACTCCTCCATGCTGAGCTATTGGCTATGGATAGATTCCGGGAAAGAGAACGCATTGTCTTTTGAGTTGTATACCTACCAATGAGTCCACCAAGCTCCAATGAAAAGTTACAAACCAATGGCCACACATATTATCCTGATTAAATTCAGTGTGGCACAAAACAAAACCAGCAAACACGAAGATATGGGAAAGAAACTTAAAGGGAGGATAGAGGGTTGACATAAGTAATAAGGAGATAAAAAGGATAGGAATAAATGTAATTCAAATGCGTTATATATTTGTATTAAATTGCCAAGGAACGGGTTTCGAATGCAGTTTGACACTGTGCATTTAGCAAAGCATTAGGAGTAGATTTTTTACCCTGGGGCCTATGACCTCCCTAGACACCAGCTAGACCCGCCCTTTTTGTGTGTAATTAAAAATTATCTTGCAAATTTATTTGTCAAGTTGAAAGATCTCCATATTTAGCAATAAGAGAAAGAAGTCATGGTGATGGGAAAGAGCTATTAGTAATTGCTCCAGTGTGGTGAAATTTAGAAGGTAGAGCATTTGAATGGGGGGGGGGCTATTTCACTTCAAAGCCATGCTGTCACAATATTGAGAGTTAAACAGTTATGAATAACAGCCTTGCAGACTTCCCACTGCCCGACACCTCTATAATTTATGGAGAAAAGGCTTCTTTAAATCACAACAAAGATCAGCGTTTGGGGGGCTGTCCTTTGTCAGCTCCAATTGTTCCAGATTGATAGAAAGATACGGAATGCAAAGGACATCATTCGCATTGTCAAAACAATTCTTCAGTGTTTAAATTTGATTTAGGAGAAAATAAATTACACATTTTTCATCAACTAGGCACCTGACAAGAGTTTTGTTCAATGATAGTGCCATTCAAAAAGAAAGAAAAAAATTACCTTCCATGACTGCATGTACTTATCTTGACAAAATATTTCCATCCATCTTTTCAAAGCCTATGAGCCAGAAAAATTGATGATAATTTATAAATCATGTGTGATATTATGACATACACTGTGTCAAATATTAGAGGTTAAGAGTTCAGTAGTGACATATCTAATTTAAGGGCTCACACTGGCACTAATGCCAGTTTAAGCCAAATAAATCTTGCCACAGGAGTTAACATTATTGGCTTCTCTACATGGCATGCCAGTGGCTCTCTCTTCCCTGGATAGAGCAAGCTGCAAAGCCTCTAGAATTATCAAACAGCCCTTTTATTTGAACCCTACAATTCTTAAAAATATTTCAATATTTTAGCAAATATTTGTACCAGATCTGAGTCTTAAGAAAAAAATATAGGAAATTAGCCTGTAGTTTTCTCTCCAAAATAACTCTGGTGGATTTTCAGTAAAGAGGATAAAGGACTGGAAATCTAAATAGGTGTACATAAACATTTATTCAATTCTAAATGTGCCAGATATTATTTTAAGACAAATATGTAGAGTAACCTAAGCAATCTATGTAATGACCTGGTGAATTAGTTGTATTCATCACCCTCATTTTATAGGTGAGAAACATGATGGTGTGGTAATATACATTTTGCATAAAGACTCAACACAGAGCCTGGGCGGTGGTGGCATATGCCTTTAATCCCAGTACTCCAAAGGTAAGGGCAGGCAGATCTTTTTGAGTTCGAGACCAGTCTGGTCTACAAGAGCTAGTTCCAGGACAGCCTCCAAACCAAAGTTGCAGAGAAAACCTGTCTCAAAAAGCCAAAAGAGAGAGAGAGAGAGAGAGAGAGAGAGAGAGAGAGAGAGAGAGAGAGAGAGAGAGAGAGAGAGAGACTCAATACAGAAAACCCTTTAGGAAAAAGCTCAAAACCAGGCAGGGTTGTACAGAGCATATTTCACACCTCTCTCTACTGTCTCTTGAGAAATAAAAGCTCTTTTAGCTAATGTATACAGGTGTAGGGGAAGGTACATAGACTCCTGAGAAAAATAATGGACAATCAATGGTAGTTCATGAATTTTCACTGAATCAAGATCACTTTCACTTGCAGATACACTGTGTATAGCTGCTTTCATGCTACAAGGCCATATTGCACAGAAGCAATATATTATAAGGACTGTACAGAAACAATTACTATTCTTATCTATTTTAGTGTGTGTATATTATATGCTTATGTGTGTGCATAGATGTGCTGTATGTAGAGGCTAGATGTTGACCAGGTGTCTTTTTCTACCCCTCTTCATCTTAGTATCTAAGACAGGTTCTCTCTCTCTCTCTCTCTCTCTCTCTCTCTCTCTCTCTCTCTCTCTCTCTCTCTCTCTCTCTGTGTGTGTGTGTGTGTGTGTGTGTCTCAACCTAGAGCTTATTGTTATAGCTGTTGAACTTAACAGCAACCCCTGGGAATCCACATATCTCTGTTATTAGCATTTCTGTGTGTATTGGCATCCAAACTGATGTCTTTGAGCTTGCCTAGCAAACATGTAGCCAGCCCATTGAACTATCTATCTAATTCACAAAAATATTACAAATTGGCCTTTTAAGGAACTCTCTCACTTGTTTAGACCTTGTCCTAGAAGTTGCAAAGCTATTCCCTCCAGTGGTTACAGAAAGAGAGGACCTGAATCCAGGTCAGTTCCTTACCCAGGTTCTCATACAGAGGACTCTCTAATGATGATACAAATGGTTCCAGCAGAGAGCTAGAGCTTTCTGTAAGCCATTATGGAATGCCTTTCATTGATATAAACACCATAGTCCTCTAACACTCAGTAAGGTACCATTGCATGGCATGGCAGAGGCTGAAGCAAGCTAGCCCAGTGCCCTCTCAATTTATTGCTATGCAGAGAGCCCTTTTCTCTTAATGTCCT